ATCCGCCCGTGTGCAGAGAAACAAAGTAAAACTGTGAGTAGTTAAAATCAGAAAGTTGTATCTGAAGATGAGAACTTGGAGTAGATGTCGTGTGCTAAAATAGGGGGCAGAGTGGTATACAAGCTAACAGGCACCAAGTTTCAGGGGAAAAAAAATTATTTTCAAGCAAATTTAGTGGGAAACAGATTGCTCTTTTTGCAGGAAAATCTGGTCCATCAGGGGAAAAAAATGCCCGTAATTTCCTTCTAAACAAATGCAATAAAATCTTTTTTTTTTCTCTTTCCCCATTTTCCACCACTCTCGCTACCAAACTAAGACGAAAGGTTTTTGCATTTTACCATACGTCAACCCGAAATCAAAATTCATTGGATTTAGATTTTGTTCAATACTTCTTAAAATGAAATTCTCAATAATAGATTAGATGTAGGTAAATTTCCCACAAATATATGATGGGTAATTTACTACTTAAAAAAATTGAGAGAAAGTTCATTAGAGTAGATCTACATTCAAGTTCAAGAAATTGCTGAAAATTAGTTTGCAAAATTCTGGCAAACTTTTTTTATAGAGTTAATTGCACTGGAATTTATCTTATTTTGATCCATAATATTTTAATTGCATCATTTTGGTTCCTGAAATATTGAATATATTTCTATATCGTCCCTCAAACAGACAACGTTCAGATTGCTAATAAATTTTTATTATAAATTTGTCACGTAATACCTAAATAAAGGCAAAAAAATAATTGGATAACTCTTGACCAAAATTTTATCCAAATTTTGGTCAAAAAGCTACTCAAATTGCACAGTTTGATTATGAGCTATCTAAATTTTGATCAAAATTAACCCCAATTTTGGTCAAGAACTACATCATGTGACAAGTTTATAATAAAAAAACCATTAACAATTTAAATTTTATCTGCTTGAGGGATCACATAAAAATATATTCAAATAAAATCATGCACTTAAAATATGAGACAAATCTAATACTTTCAGAACTTCCAGTACAATTAACCTTTTTTTATATAAGCTAGTTAATGCAGATGTGCATTGCACGTGAATTATTGTCAATTATGATTATTTTGTAATTTTTTTACATTGATTGTGAATTAAAATATTTGTAATGAAACTAATCTGTAATTTTATTATGAATGTCTTTTAATTTTTTCATATCTAGTAAATAACTTAATTATTGTAACACAAAACACTTAGTTGGTTTAAGTTTCAATAAGAGCTTATACGACATTACAAAGCTTGATATCTAAATAAGATCTAGCTTAAGTTTGATTTTTTTTATAGTAAATGGGTGGCATCAAACTCCTCACTGTAGGCGTCTTAATTTTAGTTAATGTCTAGAAAACATTAAAATGATATTTATTGTTAGGGTTAATTGTAAATTATATCTTGAAAGATCGTTCAAATTTCAATTTATACCTTCAAAGATAGAAATTTATATCAATGTGTACCCCCAAAGATCAACAATCTTAATTTGTACCCTCAAAGATAAAAATTTGTATCAATGTGCACCCCCAAAGATTAAAAATCTTAATTTGTACTCTCAAAGATAGAAATTTGTATCAATGTGCACCTAAAACTAAATTGATAAATTATACCTAGATCCCTTTATGCTTGTCACTTAATCATTTGGACCCCTTTACATTTAAAATATTACTCCTACGTCTCATGACGTTTGTGCACATGTAACACGTAACCCCTTTTCGTTGATATCTGTTAATATAACCGTTAAAAAATATGATTTTATCCTAATAAAAAATTATAATTTTATATTATTCTTTATTTTATGGGTCCAATATACTCTAAAGTTTAAAATCAAACTTACCATTTGAATGTCTAATAGAATAAATGGTTGCACATTGAGTGATATATTGCCTTGAATATAAAAAATATTATATAAATATCTATATTTTATTAGATATTCAAATGGTAAGTTTGATTTTGATCTTTAAAGTATACCGGACTCACAAAATAAATGATAATATTAAATTATAATTATTTATTAGGATAAAATTATATTTTTTTAACGGTATATTAACATATATCAACGAAAATGGGTTATGTGTTACACGTGCACAAACGCCATGAATTGTAAGAGTAATATTCTAAATGTGAAGGGGTCCAAATGATTAAGTGACAAACATGAGGGATTTAGGTATAATTTATCAATTTAGTTTTAAGTGCACATTGATATAAATTTATATATTTGAGGGTGCAAATTGAGATTTTTTATCTTTAAGAGTGTACATTGATACAAATTCTATCTTTGAGGGTGTAAATTGAGATTTTTGATCTTTGGGGGTGCACATTGATACAAAATTCTATCTTTGAGGGTACAAATTGAAACTTTTGATCTGTGAGAGTCTAAATTGAAATTTGAACTATCTTTTAGGGTACAATTTACAATTAACCCTTATTATTACTTGAGAATAATATTCACTTATAAGTCAAAGAAGAATCAATAATGAGCAAAAATGAAAGGCTTAAAAGACTCAATAAATTTATATCAATTCCTAAATTCCATGCCTCTCAATGAGATGATCATAAACTGTAACCAGGATCAATGGGAGAAATCTAATATGTCAAAATTCTGCTACATTAAAGGCAGAAAATTCTGCAATGCTAGAAAGATGAAAAAAGTGACTTTCCTCTTACCATGTACTTTTCTAGAATATTTTTGGATTGACATTGTGATTAAGTCATTATTATGTTCATGGTTTGTAGAACAAAAACAAGTTGTTGGAGTGTATTCAAATATCAACAACCAAATAAATTATGAAAACAAGAATTTGACAACGCATGATATATATGAAAAATTTGCTAATCTAGACATCCATGGCTCTTTAAACCAAGAAAAGAAAAGAAAAAGATAGCAACAACTTTCTTCATCCTTCGCAACGGTCGTATATGACCTGATTTACTTTCTTTCAATTTGGTTTGGGACTCGAAGTTTTGATGTGTTTGTGTGTAGATATATTTACATAGAGAATCAGAGAAAGAGATGGAGAGAGGGACACTTTTTGAGAGATTGAAATTAAACGTATATAGCCTTGACTTTAGAAACTTTGGCATAACCAAATACATTGAAGCAATAAGAGTTTATTTTCTTCATCATCCTCCCATAGATCTCCTAAAACAACAAAAATATATTATCCCTAAGAGATAAACAATCAATAATGAAAACATGAGTAGTTTACAAATAGAAAAATAAGACTTACTACATCAGAGAGAGTTTTTCTATTCAATGAATTTGGTAAACTTAAAGAATTCAAAAGTGAATCACTCTAATAAGAGAAAGCGTGAGAGAGAAGTTCTAGAGAAGTGGAAAGTTACCAAGTAGTAACTCTGAAGTTATTGAGATGAAAAATGGATAGTTGCAAATACAATATGCAATAGAAATAGGTAAAACATAAAGCCAGTCAAGTGTTAATGCTAATGATGTGTTCGTCATTTGTCTTTTGGTATACCAAATGGTAAATGATATAGTAACTGGAACTTAATATTTATTGATAACATTTCTTTAGGGTTATGTATAGTTATTTGCAAATCATTTATGGTAGCTATGGATAATGGATAAAATGGAAATTAGATAATAGAGGGTAAAGTAAAAAAACAAAAGTTTTTTATATCAAAATACTTTTATTAGTAGTATAAAATAGATAGATATAAATTTAAGATGTTCTGTGTAACTTCATCCAAAAATTCAGTAAAGAAGGTTTTTTTTTGTTGGTGACTTTTCATTATTGGATCTGAACCACAGAAGACAGATTGATCAACACTGGAAGTAAAATAGCGGACATTCGGGCTTCGAACTCAAACGGATCCACTAGTTCAGTTCAAATGTCTCCCAAGTTCAATTTTGCAAAAGAGCAAATACTAATGCTCTGTTTGGTATCATAGAAAAGTTGGAAGGATGAAAAGTTGAAGGGATAAATAAAACATCATGTTTGGTAATGAATGAAAATATGAAGGATGAAAAAGTAGATGAATTAACTTTTCTTCCAATTCACCAAAATCAATCCCTCCAAAATCGGAAGGAAAATGGATGAAAAATTAATTATTTGTGTTGAGATGTATCTTATTTGTCTATATATCTTATGTATATATTAATTTCATATAAAAATACAATGGTATAATATGTATATATATTTTAAAAAAATTTTAAAATTAATTTAAAAAAATTAAAGAAATAAAAAATAAAAAATAAAAAATAAAAAATAAAAAATAAAAAAATAAAATAAAAATTTAAGTTAAAAAAAATATTTTTTCCATCTTAACTAAGGGTGAAAATTTTCAACTCAACACGAAGATACGACTCGAACTCGATACGAAAATAAATAAGTCAACTAGCAACTCGACACCACACAATTAGTTAAATGAATTAAATTAAGTTTGACTAATATTCGACACAAACTAATAATGACTCAACACGAATTTGACACAACACAACTCGACTCTATTGTCACCCCTAATCTTAGCTAGCACAAAAAAAAATAATTATTTTTATTTTTTATTTATCCAACCAAACACAAATGAAGAAAAATGTATCATTCCTACTTTCCATCCTTGAAGAATATAAAATATATTCCTCCTACTTTCCATCCTCCCTGCTAAATGGAGCATAACTCAATTTTTGCCATTTATGTGTAATTGTGCACATACAAAATTTAACTTATAACAATGACACTAAAAAAAGAAATATGATTAAAACAATTTTCTGACATAAGCGAAAAAAATCCTAACCACTTCATGAAGCGGTGACTGGCCTTTGTTCCACATAAAGACCTCAAACTGCTCAATTATAGCATAATATCAATCAAATAGCTAGTATTCTAAATCCATCCCATCCTGTGATCTACCCCGTCATTTGGACATGGTTGGTCAGTGATCACTGAATAAACTATGGCTTGACATTTAATTGGAAAGAATGAGTTCGAACTGTTACAACAATAGCTATTACAGAAGGCAAATAATTGCTTGAAACTAGCCTCAATTCTTCTTCTTTAATTTAATCAGATCAGAGGCCGTCAAAGATCTTTTCACAAGGCCAGAGACAGGTAATTTCAGGTCAAAAGTCAACCTTTGCAGAATCAGTGACAATGAGATCACATCCGACATGGCTCTGTGAGCTGACCCAACCAGTGAAATTTCATAGTGCTCCCGAAGCGCTTGCAGGGATGTTTTTGATGCGAGTTTTGATCCTGTTTACAATGTCAAAACTAAGTCAATATCCCACAGAGAGAGAGAGAGAGAGAGAGAGAGAGAGAGAGTAGAGAGAGGACGAGAGAGAGAGACCCCTGGACTTCATTACTTCACGTGCCAGCGGAAGTGTGTCCATAAACAGCCAATTTGTGGGAACCTCAAAGGAGCAGCGTCCAAATTCGTTAATCAAAAAGGGGGCATCAAAGCAACGAGCATTGTGAGCAATAAATAATACATGTCCCGCAGGTTTCTGACGGCTTTTGATATATTGCAGTAAGATGGGAATTAGATCCTTCATCCTACGTAAAGGTCACAGAAGTAAGACTACAGCACATTGTGTTCAAATGTTTGAAAAGATATATTTACAAAGTGAAACCCAAAAGAAAAGCATACTTCATGAAGGCAGTCAAATTAAATGAAAAACAAAGAATGTCAGACAGCGTAGCAGAAAGAACATGACAGTCCTACTGATTAATTCAAGTTCACTATAGAATGTCCTTTTCAGTTGATTGAGTTTCGAATTGAAGAACTGCGAACCCCACTCTGGAAATTTAGAATAAAACAAAAAAGAAGAAAGAGAAACGAGAAAAGATTGTGTAAGGTAATTCTCTTACATAATGTAAGGCATTCAAAAAGAAATGATTACGAACTAAAAACAAATTCTGCCTCAATATTTATTATGAAAATTGCCTAAACCTAATTTGACAATGACACCAATCTAAAACCTCCCCATCTATGGGGGAAAAAAAAAAAAAGAGAAGTTCAAATCTAGCAGAGGCATCAAAACTGAAGGAGTTAAAAGTCAGAAGTCAGATGGCTTAATTATGAACACCATTTCACATTAACTGGTTATGCCAAAATTAGTACTATCCCCTGTTGGCATCCCAAGGCTTAAGATGCTAGTGTTATACATATAATTAGGGGGTTACGCCTCCTTGCTATATTCTTGTAATGACAGGAAAATAACAAATCAAAATGCCTTAAAATAGAGATGCGTCTTTGGAACAGATGGAGGAGAAATTGAGTGGCATTCCTCCCTTGTGCCTTTTCAAAAGAGATTCTTCTACGTCCCTAACTAGAACTTTCCTAGAGCTTCTGGATTCCTAATCTATTACGTGTATAATACTGGGCATCTATTTCTGAATAGATATCAGTTTTTCTGTTACCTATATCATTTCCTTGGGATCTTTTAATTACTTTCTAGATCCTAATATAGCTGTATAATGATGTATACCAAGGACATTCATGGCATATACATATACATATACATATACACACACACACACATATATATTTGAATATATATATATATATATATATATATATATATATATATATATATATATATATTTAAATATGCTCTTTTTTTAGTATAAGGAAGGCCATTTGTTATCTGGGACAACATAATTCATTCCATTTAACATTAAGATATATATATTAGATATATATTTGTAAATGGCTAATTTAATGAAGTCCATTGTAAATCTCAACCTATTCCATGGTCATTCTGCTATCAAGGTTAAAAATTCGAAAGCGAGGAGATCAAACATCAAACCTACATCATTCACACTCCAGGTATACTTTCAAGCTTAGGTCAAAGATAATGACTTAGATACCTAAGATAATTCCTTAGTTTATTTAACTTGGAAGGATTAAAGTTAAAATGGAATTAGAGATTAATCCGTGTATGACTCATAGGTTTGAAATGAAAAAGATTTTCTAAATCATTTGGTGTTTTGAAAACATAGATTAATTCATTAGTGGCAGACAAATTTTTCTGTTTGGTTTTAGGCTTAAAAAACTAATAGGAACCACCCTATACTCGCTAACTTTCGCTAAAACAATCTCTTTATGACTTAGAGAAGAAAAGAGGGTAAAGACTACGGAGGGAGAACAGGGCTCGCTCGAACGGTCCCTCAACCTCGCTCGAATGATCTTATAGTCGCTTGAGCAGTTTGTTCTCCCAATCAGGATTGGATCTTTGTTTTCATTCTAGTGGCAACCACCCTCTCATGATCGAGCGGCCGTTCGTAAATCTGAGTTTTTTTGTTGATCAAGATTACCCTTATTCCGGACCTATAAATAGGGAGAGCCTTTTATTCAGTTAGGGTAAGCTTCTAACAAGCCTTTCGAGATAGAAAACTTATCTTCTATATAGAAAGCTTCCACCACAATCTTAAATACCTAAGATCCAAGACTACCACTAGAGATTCTACCCAAACTCATAAATTAGAGTTAAAGATTTTGATGGTTTGACAAATCCATTAGTGCATGCATACAGAGAATCATTGACGGGCGCATGATTGCTTGAGGCCTAGATGAACCATGCGGAGGGAACTCCAAGTTAAGCTAAGCAAGACGTTGATGGGTAACCTTTGGCGAAGAGACAACAAAGAAAGGAGCATCTAGCCATTGTATTGGTTGAGGTATAAGACTCGAGTACTTGTATATGTTGACTTTGTGAGTAATAGAAAAAAAAAAAAGCATGCATTGTGCCAATAGTTAATAAGAAAAATCATCAAAAAACAACAATCAAGAGAGGCCTTTGAATCCACATTCTCAATCTTCGAAATTTTTTAATTAAATTCTATCTTGGCTTCATCATATTAGTTGGCTTTAACGTCTAATTTAGTTTTTAAAGGATACTTATTTTTAACAAGATAACACCATCTATTTTCCCACCCACCCGGTTTCTCTCCTCCATCTTGCCTTTCTACACCCCTCTCTCTCTCCCCCCCCCCCCAACTCTTTGTTACCTACCTACCCCTTACGTCATATCTCTCTCATTTTCTCACTCCTTAATACCCTCTCCCTGCATTCCTCCAAAATTTTTTTATTTCTCTCTCTCTCTCTCTCTCATCATCTTCCAGAACTACAAAGCATCCAAACAACCACAAGGGATAGGTCGTCTTCTTGCATCTCTGTCCCACAAACTCTACACACAACATTTAACTACCCCTCCACTCCAAGTCCCATGGCTACTCATTCAATCCTCTCGCTATCCCCATTTCCATAACTCCTGCACATGACTCTTTCCCCACCATCTATCTAACTTCCCACTTAATGTATGTTCTCTCTTTTAGATCTTTCTTCCGCAAAATAAAAAAAAAAACTCTTTCACTCTATCAGCATTTTATATTTCTTCCTACTTCTCAAATTAAAAATGCTCTATGGAGCAATTTGTCAATCTCAATCTCAAATTTTACAATACTATGGGAGCCAATTGCCCAACTACAAACTAGCCTACAAGGCTCTAGAATGCACAATGGTCACTCAAAGGGTTTGTTTACCTCATAAAAATTGCAAATACTCTATTCTATCTCTGTTTCTCCATGTGCCTTTGAGTGACAATCTCTCATTCTGTTTCTTTGAGTCACAACAATCTATTTGCTGTGATGGCAAGCTCCTGATTGCCTTCTTTTTTGCTTTGTTGATAAAATATTTTTAGCCATTATTAGGCCTAAAAAAGGGCAATGCTCCAGCCCATTAAGATTTAGCAAGAAATAGAAATTGAAGAATAGAATACCTTGGCACATCCGGTCTGTTGACCATATGGGTTGAAATGCCATGAATATGTGAATTTGGAACATAGCGCTCAGGATTCACTAGAGTCTGGAATGTGCTATTTTCACCCCCTGAAAGATCCCGCAGTGCAATCTCAATAATTCGTCCATCCTTTCTGCTAAGCCCGGTGGTCTCAATATCAAAAACAATAACAGTTATAAGTTTGGCCAAGTCCTTGTTCTCAGTGATGCTTTGTTGAATATCACACAATTCAAGTCTTTCAAATTGACTTGTTTCTGACTCATTTACAATTAATTTAGTGTTCCTTGCAATTGTTCCATCTGATATGTCATGTCTGATGCAGCTCGTTTCACTGCTTAAGGTGTTTGGGTTTCTTCCATCAGTTTTTGTGGTTACTGGTTGTCTTTTATCGGATATTTGATGACTGATGCTGCTCGTTTTTCTGCTTAGAGTGCTTTTGCTTCTTCCTTCAGTTTTGTCTGTTACAGGTCGTCTATTCCATCTCCTACTATGTCCCCCTTCAGGTCCATAGATATTGGAACCAAGAATTCTCAGGCTAGAACTATCTCCACTAGTCCTTAAATTGTGAAAACTTTCCCACCAAGAAGTAGCTAAGGTATGAATTCTGCATCTAGGAACTTGCAAGAGTGAGAAACACATTGCCACTGTTCTCATCTGAACTCAAGAACAACCGCAAAAACACGGTTAAAAGCTCTTAAGAGTTCTGCATCACATAAACAATTGGATTTGACCTGCAGATGAAGTAACAGCAAAATAGGTGAACCACAGAAAGAATGAGAGGAAATCTTAACTGCTAACCTATGATAAGAAACTACCATATTGGATTGATCTCTACGCACCACAGTGAAAATAACAAGCTCAGCAGTCGGAGCTCATTACTTTGCCGCAATAGTCTAATTGAATATCAACTCTACTCAGGCCTTCACCATAACCAGATTCACGATTATGGGAAGAATATAACGAAAATGCTGGGACTTAGTGACTAGATGTACAAATGTCTATGAGACCAAGTTTATTAGAACAAGAAACGTATGCACAACATTTCCATAAAGCTCCATAGCATAGAACACCGTCCAGAAATAGTAATGTGCATGCATTCAGTCCTGTCTACATATAAGAACTCCCAGATCCAGTTAGGAAAGATAATAGATATTCGGAACTAAAAAGTAGGAAAAATTGCTCACAGAAAAGCATTAGATAATCTATATATTTCCTAACCAAATAATTGGAGAGAGAGAATGGAAAACCTTCCCTCAATTTCTCAGAGTTCTTTATTAAACCAAGACCAAAAAGTTTCCTCAAGTCATATTCAACCGCATGGCCCATATAACTACTTTTCCATCCCCATCAACTAACCAGTAGTTATTTAATTTTTTTTTAATTCAGTTTTTATCCCCTTATTACTTCCTCTAATTCTCTATTTGACTTGGGAAGTGAAGGGCATGGAAAGGGAGGATATTTGAGCTAGCAGCATAGCCTTTAGCTGTTATCTCACATACCTTACAAATGGAACTCTAAACTTTCCAGGTACAAAATCAAAGTCAATATATCTGTATCAATTTTTATCGGAATTACAGCCAGCCACATTCTTCTTAAATTTTCAGCCACATATTGTGAGTGAAACCTCAATGAATCATATAGCTCAAGACCCCACTACTTGTCGTATTTGGTTTGGTATTGCTACGGCACATGATTTTGAAAGTCTTGATGATATTACTGAGGAACAAGTGACACTTCTTGTTCGTATCTTGCCTAAGTTTGAGCTTCCCAAGCCCTGCAAGGGTCTTACCACCTTTTTTATTTACTATATTCGAGTCTCTGGAGTACTTTGCAATTATATTCTGATTCGACGATTTGTGCTACAAATGCGAAGCTATACAACTCAACTCCAATATAATGACTCTAATGTAGCTCGCCCTTTTAGGTACTTGAATATTGTCTAACTGCACCAATGTATTTACAGTTATTTCTTTTGTGAATATAGTAGCCAAATAATCCCAACGTGTTATAGAAAGCAAATATTATTCCAACTTGCTTAAAGGTTGCTTTGTAAAATGTTGGACAATAGACAGTAGGCCCGGCTAAGGGGTTGTTACAAATGAACATGAAAGAAAAAGAGCAATACTCTCTATCTACTTCTTTGAGTTCTTGTCATGTTGTTCTATGAAACAAATCTTATCACTTATCATCTTCCTTTCTAAGCAACTTGAACTTAACGTCCTTAGTCTTCCCTTTATACACTTCCAAATCATCCAAGTCAAAGTTTCTCAAATTTTCACATATATTTCTTCTTAAGTTTTCCCAATTGTGATCATCCCTATTCTACTATCAAACTCCACCCTACCAACCATCTGGAAATTCTCCTCTTGGTGCTTTACCAAGAACAAGTAATACTGAAGTGCTAAAAAATTTTCCTAATAAAGCACAACTGGTGTACAAACAACAACATAATGATAACATACACCAGTAGTACAATCCAAGATGTACTACACTTGGAGTTAGCTATATGCATGATATCATACACTTGGAGGACGTGGATTAAACGATGCTTGCAATCTATGAATTTTTCAATTATTCTTAATGGTAAACCAAAGGGTAGGTTTAGGGCTTTTAGGGGGATTAGACAACGTGATATTTTATCACCTTTCTTATTTACATTGTTTGTGGATGGATTGACTAAATTGATGATTAGGACAAAAAGGTATAGAATTTATTATTGGTGGGGAAAGACTGTCTGTTCTCACTTACAGTTTAGTGACGATACCATATTCTTTTCCTTGGTGGACAAAGAGAAATTTTTAAATCATATAATAAATGTTAATATGCTTAGCGTCAAGTCTGGGCTAAAGGTCAATATGGACAAAAGTTTGATTATTGGGATTAATTCTAGAAAGGAGAAGGTTAATAGGTTGGCTTGGGTTTTGGGATATGTTCAGCTCTTAATTGTTTATGTCTTCCTCTTGGAGGTAACCCTTTATCTATTGGTTTTTAGGATTTGGTTATTGAAAAAATTTAGAAAAAGTTAGATGGTTGGAAGAAAACTTTTATATCTAGGGGAGGAAGGCTTACACTAGTTCAGTCAGTTTTGGCAAGTATTTTAATTTATTTTCTATCTCTTTAAGGTATATTATGCGGTAGCAAGAAGGATTGAAAGAATGATGAATATTTTTTTCTAGGAGGGTAGTGGCGAAGGTAAGTGAGATTATTTGATTAGGTGGGGAGGTTGTGGCTAGACCTAGGGTCATTCAGTAGATAATTTGATGACTAGGAATATAGTTTTAGTTGAGAAGTGGCTTTGGAGGTTCCCGATAGAACAAAATTCGTTGTGGCACATGGTTATTAGAAGTAAATATGATCTACAAGCCAATGATTGGGATGCTAATGGGGTTGAAAGACGGAATTTCCGAAACCCATAAAAATTCATCTCTTAGAGATTACCTTCCTTTTTACAAAGGGATAAATTTGTTGTGGGTAATGGGAAAAAAGTTTGATTTTGGAAAGATTTGTGAATTAGGGAGTCATCATCGAATTGTTTATATTTTGTCTTTACAATCTTTTGTGTCATCGTCATGTTCATATCGCTTCAACGATTGAGTCATACTCTTATCCAATTTCTTGGGATTTTAGGTTTCATAGGAATTTTAATGACAGGTAAATTTTAGATTTGTTCTCTCTTCTTTCTTTCCTTAGCCATGTATCTTTACATCATGATTCCAGTGATAAAAGATGGCGGGTCCTTGATTCGAATGGTGTTTTATAAATCTTTTTTTGATTCTATGATTGATAATTCTTCTACCACAATCTTCTATCTATTATTGAAAATTTGGAAGACCAAGGTATCTTTAAAAGTACAAGTATGTGCATATGTGATTGCTCACAGTAAGGTTAACACAAATGATTTGCTCCAACAAAGAAGACCTAATAAATGCTTGTTACCGCAATGGTGTGTTATGTGTAAGAAGGATTGGGAGAGTGTGGATCACTTATTTTTACATTACCTGATTGCTTGGTCTTTGTGGAACAAATGTTTTGAGGTGGCTGGAAATTTGTGGGTGGCTTCTTGTTCTATTACTTCTATGTTTTGTATGGATTTTCATGGTCTTGGAAGGAATAGTAAAGGAGTCATTCTTTGGGAGTGTTCAATTTTAGCTACTATGTGGGTTATTTGGATGGAGAATGCAATAATTTTTTAGGATAAATATGGGTTGTGGAATCTTATCTGTCTTTTTGGACATTGGTTACTAAGGAATTTGACAATATCGCTCTTTTTTGGCATTCTAGGGAGCTGGTCCATTGTATGTGGCTGCTAGAACTGTTTTTACATGTTTTTATGTTTGTAACACTGCATGACACTAATTTTTTCTTTTTGGTTATGTGGTGGACTAGTCCATCTTTTCTCTTTTATTGTTCTACCTTTTGCTTATTACTAACAAAATTTTTGTTTCTTATCCACAAAAAAAAAAAAAAGAAAAGAAAAAGATGTAGCCTAATATTTCAAGTTTTTTTTTCCTTCCTGCAGTAGATCTGTCAAGTTACTGAGAAGAATGTATAACTTTAATTTTTAACCAAAACAGTCCTACACGAAAAAAGGCATGCAAATAATAATAAACTAGGTGAATTCCATTAGCTAAATCTATTGCAGAAAAGAAAAGTTAAAAACCAATGAGTAACTCCATCAAAGAAAAAGGGTTACAGAGAACAATCATAGTGATGCACACCCAAATCCACATTGAAATAATACAGATACAATGGTTGTATGCATCCATGTGCTGTCTAAATTAGTACCTTCTCAAATATCCGGATAGAACTGACAGTAATACAGAAATGAGTGGGTGTTTATCAAACAAATTGCAGTGATTTTTCCCCATATCCAAGAGCCTCTTTTTTAAGTTGAAAGCATATTCCTTACAAAGGTTGTTCAATCACACCAAACAGAAATTTCAGATTTTTTGAAAAGAAAAATCAAGGCATAAAGTCCACAACAAAAATTAAAAGCTGATTTACGTCAATTGACAATGCGGCTCAGACAAATGATCCACCCACACCAGTAGTAAAAATAACAGAAAATTCTAGCTAGACCAAATAAAGAAATCACATTCTCTTACAATCAATTTTCAAACTGACGATGTAATCCAATATTTACTGTAAGATAACAACACGTACACTAACACACACATATTTTTGCTTGTATGTTTGTGCTGGGGTGTAATAACCACATGAATGAAACCAAACTAAATATAAAAAACAACTTGTTTTTTAGCAAAATCTTCACTTTATCAAAGCCCAAATGGCATTATCATGAAGAGATTAGACACCCAAAAACTAATGATATTCAAAATCACTAATAAAGAAGTGAAATTTATTCATACAAGTGCCTCATTATCTTAATCAAACCACTTGATCAGCAACATTAATAAATCAAAACCACTCATAAATTCAACCCAGACCCATAAAAAAATTAGACTTTGTCATTAAACATTTAAATGATATTGAAAACCAATCCATGTTCATATTTCAACAAAACAACAAGAAAAGACAAATAGAAAGACATGGAGATTAGATAGACACATAAATGCTTCGTACCGATTCCAAATGCAAAACACTTCCTTTCAGACTTGAAGGAAGCTTCTTTGATTATGAACTTTGTGGAGAGAGAGAGAGAGAGAGAGAGAGTTTTGTGGAACGAGAAACGTTTTCGGAGGGGTCATACCGGTAAAACAAGCAAATGAAGGGAAAAGAATGGTGGGTGATGCAATTGAAATGAGGCCCCATGAAGTGCGGATCGTGAGCCCCGATCCATTTCTTCCGGGTCCACCACCCTACCTTACGTTTCCGCTTTTACTTTACAATTTTTTGTACCTTTTTTAATGACGCATGGATTTGCTGCTTCGCATGACAGCATAATAAATTGCTTTGGGAGCATCTAGGCCGTGTATTAGGTAAAATAAGTGGAGTCACGTGGTTTGTTAAAGTAGGGTCCGCTTCATGTGGCTCTGTTGGAAGTGTCCGATGCGTGAGGGTATGGTGAACGAGTTTGGACGTTATGGCACGGAATCTGAGTTGGGTAGAATTCAGTTCATCACATGGCAAATTGCGTTGATGAGAAGAGTTTCCAGGTTTGCGAATTAAGAAATGCTTTCATACACTATTAGATAGTATGAAATTTTAGGTGTCTTTCGATTGCATCTTAAAATATAATATTGAAAAACATATTTTTGCAAAAAACAAAATTAGAAAAATGTGTTTAGCAAAACTTATTTGATTATTTAATTCTAAAAACAATTCTAAGAAATAAAAAACAGTAAACCTTCACTATTATATCGAGAATTTCATCAACCATATCACAATCTCCAATCATCTTCCAGGTGCAAGCAAGTCATCTCAGGCATCGCCAGCACCATCTTCCTCATCCTCGCTGTACTCATCATCAAGATGGATTGCGAGCAGTAGTTTAACATCAACAAGCCAACTTGTTCGGTACTCCTCCGGTCTTAACAATCTAGAAGTAATTCAATTGGTGGTTCTCAGATGAATTTAATTTCACTTTAGGGTTTTATGTAAGGAGAAATTGATTGATTTTGAAGATTAGTAGTTGAATTTTTATTAAATTAGGTTTATGCAATTTTGTGTTATGATGATTCTCCCTAATTCCAGGGCTTCATGTGATGGATCTGGGGATCATTACGTTGTTCAAGCCATTCCGACGGAGAAATAGTCGAACCCAAGATCTCTGCCTTACCCAACCACCCCAATGCCTTTAAAAAATCTATCATATAACTTCAGCTCACTCACCATCAAAAATCGAAGCCCACTTCATTCTTGCTTTTCAAAATTTGGAACAATGAGTCATGTGTTTGTTTATGTATCCGTTTGTTTTTAAAACTCCATAAGTATGGTCTTGACTATAGGATTTTTTTATTCATAGCAATCAATTTTTGTGAAAGTACAACAATGTAGTAGGCACTTGGTCAATGTGACAAGGATTTGATGGATACAAAGTGAAATAGGTTTTTTCACTTTCTAAGAATGCTGAATTTGAATAGGATTATTTTTTGTTGTTTTCGTCGAATTTGGGATAGTATGTTATGTTCAACTATTTTTCACAGTTTTTAAGTTTATTATTTTCATAATTTTTTAGTTGATTGTTTTGTAGCTTACCCTTTTTAGTTCACTAATTTTTATTTTCTGGGGTGCACTGTTTTTGAGTTCACAATTTTAAGTTTATTATTTTTGAGTTCATTGGTTTTTTTTTTTTTTTTAGTTTACTGTTTTTAATTCACAAATTTTCACTATTTTTGGATGATGAATTGGGTAATCAAATCCATGAAAGAACAGAGGATATGCTGATTTTGTGAAAGTGGAAGACTTGTTGGTTCTGCATTCATGTTTTTGGCTTTTGTGAAAAATGGAAGTAAAAAGACTACCCATAATTTTCTATGAAGAAACAAGAAGGGCAGTGGCTTTTTTGCCTTCGCCTAATTGCCTCCCCATCGCATGTCTACTTAACTCTGTACCATTCATAGCACAGAGTTTCTAAAAATACATCCAAGAAAGGGGTGAATGCAATATGTAGATCAATCGCTAAGATCAAGAATTGAATGCTCTAATCTGGCACAGTCCTAATGTTCCTTTGCCATTTTGTTTTATTTATTAGTAATTGAAGCTTAGAAAATGTAGCATCAGTCACCACGCGATGCAGCTGAAAACCAGAGTTAAATTTTAGAAGAATTTTGGGGTACATTGCTTGAGGAATTTACAGATGTGTGTGTGTGTGTGTGAGAGAGAGAGAGAGAGAGAGATTGTACCTCCAGGATCCCATTGTACCCATAGAGATGGGCCACTATTTTTGAATTCACTTTTTTTTTTAACTATTTTTTAGTGTATTGTTTTTCACTATTTTTTAAGTCAGTAATTTTTTTTATTATTTTTGAAATCAATAATTTTTCATTGTTTTTCACTTTGGTAGTGAAAGTAGATGGTGTGTAACGATTAAGAGAATAAAAGTGATGGGTTAAGTCCAAATAGTCCAATTTATGTGTTAAAGTCCAATCCCAATTGGGGAGCCCAACCTCATTTTGATTCCACCAAGCCCAAGACAGTCCAAGACCGGTTAGACTTCCTGCTTAGCACGTCACCAAGAGGAGAGCACGGGAAGCTTATCTGCACCACCGAAGGAAACGGTCCAATCTTTGACCACGTTTCATGAAAAGCTCCCCAACCTCCTCCTTCCGTTGAGGATAAGTCTTGATCTCCACCAAGAATAATCTCTTAGCTGCGATAAAGAAGCCTGGAGGATAAGTCGTGATCTCCACCAAGAATAATCTCTTAGCTGCGATAAAGAAGCCTTGAGGATATGTCATGATCTCCACAAGAATGATCTCTTAGCTGATATAAAATAGCCTCCAAGCTGGTAGAAAGGAGGGACACATGCTCCATCAGAGACACACAGAAGACGAATCGACTACCGGAGATTACTATTTTCTTTAATTCTCCATTCTCCCTCTCAAAGCTTGTATCTCCATTCTCCATACCTTTGAATCAATAAAATACCCGGCAACTGAAGCCATTGAAGAGTGGACGTAGGTCGAATTGACCGAACCACTATAGATTGTGTCTTCTTAATTTTTTTATTGATTTCATTGCATTTATTATCTACACTTGACAGGTGGTGTGCAAAACCATTTTTGTGCATCATCAAAAAGTGTTAATCGTATCAGGTTAAACGAATAATAGATAAAAAAACACATATACTCGTACACAACACATTTAATTACCAGATAAAAAATTTTAAAACAAACACAAACCGTTTAATATACAAAAAAACACATCACAACTCGTTTACCTTGTTTAAAAACAAAAAAAAAAATATATTATTTTAACAAATTTTAAGTTCTATTTCTTTGCTTGCTTTCCAACTGTACTTTCTTCGAAAGGAAGAATTCCAATCAACAATCCATGAGATAGTCACGCCACAAAGATTTGCTAAACTGAAAAGACCTACTACCTTTTCTTATAGGCAACTAAAGCTTCCTCTCTCCACTCCTCTGTCGACGTGGGATTCAAAGAAAAGGCAATTCCGCTTGTTACCCAACTGTCCACTTCATGGCTTTCTTCTCCAGCCAAACAGTCACTCCAAGGCATGTCCTTTATTTGTTTCTCCTCATTCCCTACCTCAAAACCCAGAATCATTTGCTTCAGTTCTGTCTGCAAATCATTTGAACTTGCAACTTTTTGAGACCGATGGAACTCTGGCCGATGCCTTGTAAGAGGTTTCAGTGGAGTTAAGATCAGTTAAAAGTTGTTTCTATCAATTTAAACTTATTTTTATCAATTAGGTATGTAATATTTTTCTTGTTTGCATTGAATTATCTCGCAATAAGGAGTTCTCATTGGTGGGTTCTTGAGAATTTTTTCCTTGAAAGTGATCAGTAAATTCTTTAAATGGAGAAATTAAGTTGATGATTTCTACTGAATTTGTAAGATCTGGATTCTGGGGCAAGAACTCAAACCTCTGGATTCTGGGGTATGATTTTCTTGACTCATTTACCATATATTTATATATAATATTTTAATTTTTGACTAATTTTTTAAAAATAATTATTATTTTATTATTTTATTAATTTTTTTAAACGGATAAAATGGGTGATAAACGGGTTGACAAGTCTCACCCGAACACGACCCGTTTATTAAACGTGTATGACAGATTAATCTGTTTACCACCTGAACCTGTTAAGATATCACCTGAACCCGTTAAGGATTCACCCAAACCCGCTTACTTCGTGTCGCTTAATCTTGTCATGTCGAATTTTTACAGGCCTAATGACGATAGTGGATAGTGGGTGGTGATAGACTAATTTTTTACTATTTTGAGTAGTGAGCGGTGCTAGTTGCAGTGATAGTGGGTGATGTTTGTTGACAGTGATAGTGTGTGGTGGTGATTGGTAGCGATGGGTGGTGGTAATGGGTGGCAGGTGATGGTGATGGGTGGTAGGCTAGTTTTTTTACTATTTTAGGTGGTGGGGATAGGGGATGGGTGTGGGTGGTGAGGATGTTGGTGGTGGTGGTTGGCGGCAATGTTTGGTGGTGGGTTAGCTTTTTACTATTTTGGGTGGTGGGTGGTAGACTAGTTTTTTTTATTGTTTTGGGAGGTGGTGATGGGGATGGTGGGGTGGTGATGTTGGTGTTAGTGGTATTATTATGGTGGTGGTTGGTGGTTGGCAACGATATTTGGTGGTGGGTTAGTTTTTTACTTTTTAGATAATGAATAGTTGGCTAGTTTTTTACTTTTTTTGGGTGATGGTGGTGGCGATGGTGGTTTGTGGTGGTGGGGATGTTGGGTGGGTATGGTTGGTGGTGATGTTGGTGGGTGTGGTAGATTATGGTTGTGGTTGGTGATGATGTTTGGTGATGGGTTAGTTTTTTACTGTTTTGGGTGATGGACTAATTTTTCACTATTTTGGGTGTTGGGTGATAGTGGTGGGTGGTAGACTAGTGTTTTACTATTTTGGGTGATGTGTGGTGGGTGGTAGACTAGTGTTTTACTATTTTGGGTGATGTGTGGTGGTTGGTGGTGGTAAGGATGGTGGGTGGGTGTGTGTGGTGTATTATGGTGGTGGGTGATATGCTAATTTTTTACTATTTTAGGTGGTGGGTAGTGATGATAGCGATGGTGGTTGGTGGTGTTGGCGACAATGGTTGGTGGTGGTGGGAATGGTGGGAGGGTGTGGGTGGTAGGGAATGGCGACGATATTTGGTTGTAGATTAGTTTTTTACAATTTTGGGTGATAGTTTAGTTTTTACCATTTTGGTGGTGGGTGGTAGTGGTGGGGTGGTGGTTGGTGGCGATGTTTAGTGGTGAGTTAGTTTTTTACTATTTTGGATGATCGGTCATTTTTTTTCTGTTTTGGGTGGTGAATGAAGTTTGTTGGTAGCGATGGTGAGTGGTGGCGGTGGTAGACTAATTTTTTATTGTTTTGGGTTTGCGACAATGATTGGTGGTGGTGGTTGGCTAGTTTTTCGCTGTTTTAGGTGGTGAGTGGTGGTGGTTTGCGACGATGGATTGTGGTGGTAGTGGGTGATGTGGTGAGTGGCAAGCTAGTAGTTTTTACTATTTATGGGTGATGAATGGTGGCAGTTGGCTACAAATGGTGGGTGATGGTGGGGATGACGGTTGGTGGGTGGTGGTGAATTTTGGGTAATAGTGGTTGACGACGATGGTGGGTGGTAGTAGACTAGTTTTTCTCTGTTATGGGTAGTGGGTGGCATTGGTTGGTGGCCATGGTGAGGTGGTCGTGATTGACAGTGACAGGGTGCTGGGTGTGGGTGGGGTGGCGGGTGACGAGTGGTGGTGATTGTCGTTGGCAGGTAAATGGTGGTTGGCGATGATGGTGGGCGAGTTTTTCATTGTTTTGGGTGGTGGGTGATGGTGTTTGGTGGCAATGGTGGAAGGTGGTGGTTTATATCGATGATGGGTTATGTCGGCGATGGTGGGTGGGTGTTAGTGGTGGCGGCGACGGTGGGTAGTGGGTGGTTGTTGGCTGCGGTAGTGGGTGATTGTGGAGGTGAGTGGTGGTTGGTGGACGATAATGGGTGGTTGTGGTTAGCGGCGATGGTGGGTTATGATAGTGGTAGGCGGCGATAGTGGTGACAGGTGATAGTAGAAGGTGTTGGTGGCCGCAGTGACAGCGGTGGTAGTTGTGGTGGTGGCGGCGATTATGGTGGTGGTTGTTGTTGTTGGCGGTAGTGACAGTGGTGATGGTGGTGGGTGGTTGGTGTAGGCTCGTGGTTCTAGTTGGCACAATAGTGGTAATAAATATACAAATTGAATAATGATAGAAATTTTTAAATAACCTCCTCTTCTTTTTTTTTTTTGTCATTTAAATAACCTTCTTCGTTAAGGATATTTTTATCAACGTCGCTTTTATAGACTTTTGGCCTTAAAAGTGTTGAGGTTGGACCTAAAGCCAAAAAAGTCACTCTATTTGGATCTTCCACCAAATCTCCCATAAATAAATACAAATAGAATAAGTTACGTAAATTTTATTTACTACATTTGTGGTCAATCTATGGAAGTTGCAACCTAACATTAAACATCAATCATCACCACTTATTTATTAACTTTAAGTAATTTATGTTCAGTTTGATTATTTAATTCTTGTTGCATATTTTACATGAAATATGAATTTGAATGCTATTTTTCAAGAGGATTAATATTGTCTTTTTACTTTCCTATATATACCCATTTTGAATTTTTGATCAAAGCAGTAATATAATTCATAGATTTGACAACAACTAGTAACAATAGCCACACAAAATCAACAGATCTAACAGAAAAAAATAGGATTAATTAGTTTTTATCTCTATATGGTTTCGGCTAGAAAAAGCTTACCCTTTAAAAATTATGAACATTATCCCCTTGTACTTATGTACCATTGTGAAATGGTTATTTTTACCATAGAAATTAATAGAGAGTGTGCTCCACATGCCCAAAACATGTTTTGGGCTCTATTTCCATTATTTTCTTCCAACAGAATATTGTTCAAGTGCCTAAAATACCCTTTCTAATATATAGGGCGGTCCCAGATTAAAAAACATGTAAGAAAAATATATGTGATTTTCAACTCCGGATCAAAACCTCATTTAAGATAAAAAGAAATTTGACATGTTTAATTGAAATGTATTAGTTTGTTGTTATGTTCTATTAGTTTTATGGTCAAGAATAAATCAATAATTTTTTAATTTTGTTAACGGCATTAATTATTTTACTTTGATACATAATTATGTGGGAGTAATGTAAGCAATTTTAAATGTCTAATAGGTAAAGGGCTTTTAGCCGAAACCACATGGGTAGAAAACAATTAACCAAAAAAAAAATATATCCAATAGTCAAATGGACAACAACCAGTAAAAGAAAAAGGATTTCATATTCAAAATCAAAAATCACAAGATCAGATACTCAACAAAAATTAACAGACCTGACAAAAAAAAAAAAAAAACAACAAGATCTAATAACTAGATGTACAACAAACAGTATCAAAAGCAAAAATTAGATTTGATATACGGAAAAAAAATTACTAGATCAGATAGCCAGATCTACAATAACTAGTAGCCAAAAAAAAAAAAAAAGATTTGGTATATTACACACATAATCAATAGATTTTACCCATGACTCCAATCTGGTGTCGTTGATCAATCAATCGTCATACAAAATCAACAAATTCGAAGCAATAAACCACATATCTGGGTCATTTTGGCCTTTGGAGGATCGATCGAAGGCTGAGGTTGAGTCATGAGTCCTCAGATTCGAAGCAACAAACCACAGATTTGAGTCGTTTTGCCGTAGCTTGCCATTGAGTTGTGGGTCCTCAGATCTATGGTGTACACACTTGCTCAGTCAAGGATGTTTCGCCGAAGAGCTCTTAGTCGCAGGGGTGGAAGTGAAGAGGAGGACTTGGGTCTCCTTTGGCGATCAGGGAGAGAGAGGGAATTGTAGAGGACCTTCGGGGAGAGAGAAAATTAAAAGGGATGGGCGTTTTATACTCTACCTTTAAGTGCACGATAAAAAAGTGCATAGTTTTATACATGTGTTTTTTTAGGGGAAATTATATTAGGATTTTTTAGATTTGTCATTTAATCACTTAAATTTTTTGGCATTTGAAATATTATGTACAAACTTCTTAAAGTTTGTGCGTGCGTAACACTTAAACCCTTACTGTAAATATATCAGTTAATAAATTATATTTAAATTCCTTTAAAGTTTTAGGTATATAATACTTAGACCATTTAAGTTTAAAATATTATACGTAGACTAAAAATACTCCAATTAAAGATAAAATATTAAATATTTTAAATTTCACATTCAAAATTCATGTTTTATTGTATCATTTATTAAAATAAAATCAAAAATAAAAATTTAATTTTTTTCTTAAAAAATCATAATTAGTATAAAATTATATTTCTATTGGAATTTAATTTGGTTGTTTAAACGACCAAATTAAAATACTAAACTAACCCCAATTAAAGTTAAAAGATATTGTGTTCATTATAGTTTGATTCATTGTTTAATATTTTTAGTTTTATTCTAATATATAATATAATTATATACTAACTATGAATTTTTTTAAAAAAAAGTTAAATTTTTATTTTTTTTATTTTATTTCAATAAATGACATAATAAAACATGAATATTG